GCGAGTCCTGGGTCTGCCCTGGGACCTCCTAGGACATGCACAGAATACCTCACCTAGCAGGTGTCCAGAAGGAATCCAAGTCAGATGCCCTAAGAACCTCAACTGACTCCTTTTGATGTGGAGGAGTAGTGGCTCTACACCGAGTCCCTCTTGAAATGTCCAAGCTCCTTACTGCCCACCCACCACATGAATCGATACCTTATCTCGATGGAGGGGTTTATGTGTATTGGTGATCCCAGGAGTTAAGTTGTCAGGGCCAATTAAACTTTGGTAGGATCTTCCAATGCAAATTAGTCCAGAAAGGACCAGAAAAAGTGACTCAAAGACCCCCTGTGTTAAGGGAAAAAAAACAAGCATCCAGTGTAACCTGGCTGAGACAGGGTTACGGGGTCCTACCATGCAGCCAGGACTGGGGTGGAGGCCGTAGCCTATGGGGCCCAGCCTGGCTTAGGCCAAAGAAGTTAATTGGGTCCGTCCTCCAGTGGAGGACTTTGCACAAAAAAGCTGACCCATATGAGGGACCACAGGGGGGTCAGTGGATCAAGCAGTGGTCAAACAAACAAATAGAAATAGTACAGTGAAGAGGTGAGTTGTTTGTAAGACTCACGATGGGCAGTCTTTATGTTATTTTTGCTTGTTTTTGTTCCAAATACATAAAGTAAATTTTTCTAAATTTGCATGATCTGTTAGAAAATCGAGCTACTGATTTATTGATGATTTTGTTCTCTTTTTCCAGTTAATAAAATTGTTCTTTCTGGTGATGGTTAAAGCTATTGAGATCTAAGTTTGAAGGTCTCTGGGTATGGTCAATGAGGATAAGTTACCTACAGGTCAAACAGAGGGGATTGTGGGATGCTGAGGCTAAGGACTCTGGACAGGTCTCACACGACTCCGACCAGAACTGTTCAAATAGAGTAAAAAGCCAGAATGCATGAAAATACATGCTTACATGTATACACTATAGATCTTGGTATTGTCCTTTAGTTTCTTTCAATGGTATATAGTGGTGGTACACATCTTTGTCTCACTGTATGACAGCCAGGCTAGGCTCCAGCCCTCTTGACCTTAAGTTAGACAGGCTGTTAAGGAAATAGATGACAGCAGGACAAGCCATTAGCTAGATGGCCACAGATGGCTGGGAATGACATAAGACTAATAGATAAAACCTGAACTCTACAGTAAAGGGATTTGGTGGTTCTCTTAAACTACAGGAGACGTTTTGTTGCTGAAGTCTGGGAGGACTTGTCACTTACAGCAGGGGGTGTCGAACATGCTGTCTGTGGAGCCAGAAACTCACTGTAGACTCACAAAAGTGTGAAAATTACAGAGTAAACGTAAGTTTTGCACATTCACTGTGTTTTGTTCCAGTTTGTGTTGCAAATTAAGAATCGCTCACATTGTGAGAGCTGTGGTCCGAACTGCTACCACATGAAAGCACGGCTAGGTTTTTTCGCCTCGCTAAAGTATCATTTCGTTGTAATGGCAGCAGTCGCACTAGCAGACAGCGGGAGAGACAAAAAGTGGAAAAACTGTGGCTTAATTGATAATGAATGACTCATTATGTTTAACGTTTAACGTAAATGTGTACCATAACTTTTTTTATGTATTAAGAACTTTAACCAGATAGTAAAATGAGAACTTGCCAGAATTTCGCGGATGCCTTTAACAAACTGAGTGATTTCTATGTGCTTTCTGACTAGCCTCAAAGTCACAAGGCAGAATATTTGGGTTTAATGTGTATCTTGCATGTTTATTTAGATTCTATAGTTGTCTAATTACACCATGCCAGACTAAATAAAGGATAACTGATCTGAGTGAGCAATGTGACAAAAGGTTTGAAAAGCCAAACCTAAACCAAGGAGCATGATGCTGTGGGCCTTTTAGCAGCTGCATGGTGGAACTATGGGTGGGACAGCTGATTATGGAAACTATATGGAGAAACACGAGGAAGGGAAACTTGGAGGAGACACTAGACCAGGAGCTTCTATTACCTCCTTGCCTCTACAGTCTGTTGGACAATCCTACCTTAAAAGAAGAAGCTCACACTAGTTGCTATGACCAAGTCTGACGGTTACCGGGGTAACCAGTTCCTTTTCTTGCGATGCAGCTATTCTAATGTCAGGTTGTAGCAGCTGGGTCAGCTTTAGAGTTGTCTGCAGTGAGGTTTATGTAAAGTAAAGGTAAGACCCAGTCTTGTTTTCTGCCTAGAGTTGCTAGTGGATTGGATCAGTGGAGATGTTGTGCTGAGGAAGAGGGTGTGCTTGCCCTATCATCACTGTCAAAGGGCAAAAGAGTACATCCTGGGCAGTACACATTGGCCATCTCAGTGGGAGTACTTAGACCAGATAATGGTAAATTATCAGATTTAAATATAAGAAATGGACATATATAAATATGTTAATTATATGCAGTGCAGTTATGAGACCTCAACCCACTGGAAAACTGTGGGATCTTCAAAAGCGATTAGGTTTCAGGTTAATGGTCTTCCATTTATTCAGATCTTTAGAATCATTGCCAATGCTGTTCTTGAAGCAAGTGTTGCACCAACGTGTGGTTCAAAAGCAGAAGCAGAGGCGACAGGACTTTTTCAATGGCGTCTCCTAATCTTTGGGCATTTTCATGTAAGCTCCCAGTCTCTGTCATTTTAAAACAGTGTTAAAAAACCTACTTATTCTCTGTAATCTGGGTTTTATTATGCAAACAGTCTTATTTATAGTACAGTACTACTTTATCTGATTATTCTTAATGTGGATATAGTGGCTGCTATGCATAGGATATTTTGTATAATACAGAGAACATTGGCCAACTGAGATTATTTCTATAGCATATTTATAACAAACTTTGACTTGAGTTATGCTTACTTGTTTCTTTTAATTTCTCCGTGGTCAGTAACTTTATGTTTAGGGAATGTGCAAAACACAGAATCCATCAGTATACATTTGCCTCGGTTTTTAACAGAATGCACCACTGTGACAGTATATTTTCTTTCAATATGAAGCTTTTGTTTGAGTTATTCTTGTGTGTTATACAAAGCTTTTGATTTCTAAAACATATATACCAAATGCCTGTACCAGGGCTCCAGTCTATTCCAACAGAGATCAGTAACAGTGGAATTTAGCTTAACTACATATGGCATGGTACCCTGCAATCACTGGAGTGCCAAATGTGTATTAATCCACAATGAAAAATAGTTCTGAACACATTGTATGTACTACTTACTCTTCATAAAGTTAAATCTGCAACAACTGACATAGAGCGTAACGACCAAAGTACTGCAAGAGCTGCTGAGCCATGATAGTCCATTACCACGAAGCTCCCTGTGTACAGTTTTTGTGCTGATGCTAATGCCAGAGAAGGTTTGGAGATCTGGAGTTACTGAGTCAGCAGAACACTGGTGTCTTTTACACACTATGCACCTCAGCGCCCAGCAGCCATGCTCTGTACCTTTATGTGGTCAGAGCTGCTGAAGTTCCTAAAACCTTCCTCTATGTAATAATATCTCTTAGAGAGAGAAGACATTTGACATCCTGTCACATCCTGTTACAACACCATGATTTTATAGATCTGTGACAACGAAAGTCAAATCACCTGAACTCAAAGATTAAGAGGCCTGGCCCAAAATATTTATCTCTATAATGTATAACAGTGGTATATCTTTCTGTCTTCAGTGGTCTTAAGCGCGTGAGCTGAAAGCAGTTGGACTTCTTCTCTCATCCGAAAAGTTTCCTTGGAAAAGTAAAGAGTATTTAAACCCTGATGGAGATTATTCCAAGGATGATTATGAGATGTCTAGTGAAAGGCCCACTAAATGTTAAACAGGATTTCCCATCAGCTTTAGAAGAAGCAGCCTCTCCACTGCAAAGTAAAACATTTTCAAGAACCCAAAAAGAAGTCCTTTGCCTTCGACTCAAGTGCAAATTGACCAAAGATGGTAGAAAAGCAAGCGTACCGAGAGATGGATTTCAAATGTAGTTACTTTGCTTGCTTTGGTTATAGATTTGTTGGCAAATCTGGAAATTTTTAGACAACTAACTAAGAACAAATGCAACAAAAAAAATCAGTACAATGAAAAGACATGAAATGTGCTGTAAGATCCCACTTGTTCATTCATTCCTTCTCTCAGGTGTTCAAGGTTGTCTCGCTGCCATTCAGCCCCCCCCTCGTTCATTCAGCTAACAACCCACTTTGATTGTTTTAATGGAAGGGCCGGGCAAAGGGCGAGACAGTATGAGTCACAGAGCGAGAACAAGAGGGAGAGAGAGAAAGAGAGAGTGATGGAGAAGCAACTGGCAGGAGGGGACAGAAGAGAAACAGTACCTGAGAACAAATGGAAAACCTTGTTCCCCTGAGGGCTAATTTGCATACACACACACACACGCGCACACACAGAGGTTGCACAGTGTATACAACCAGAGCAGTTTCTTCAGTAAACAAGAGATTAATATTAAGATGGCAGCATTCACCTTAAAAAAATAACACCATGGCAGAGTTACAAACATGGACTGCCAACTATAATGTAAACATGCCCGTTTCTGCAGTAGTGATCATTCCTTCAACACACACACACACACACACACACACACACACACACACACACACACACACACACTGAATGATAAAATACTACTCTTAAGAACAACCCTGCAAGGTGAATCCAACACGTATGAGCAGTGCTACTCTAAGCCAGCACGCACACACACACACACACACTCTACAGCACAACATAAGCACCACATATGACGGGGAATCTAACTCGCACACCCTTCCGCACGGCATATCTGCATGCAAACACACACATGCATGTTTAAAGTGTCCGACACACACCCATATCAGTGCAGTCCAACACCACACATACACACACGCGCGTGTAAACAGTCTCCCACCCACCTTCGCTTCTTCCTCCATGCCTCTCCCACCCACTCAAAACACAACACACACACGCACACATTCCCTCGATCCATCCAATCCCTCCTCTTCTCCTCCTCTCCATGCATCCTTACCTTGCAGTAGGCTCTGGAGGTTGAGCTGCGCCTGCTGGTGCAGCTCCTCGACACACTCCGGCCTGCTCCACGAGCCGAACACGTTCACGCTCTGTTGCCATGGAGACCTGAAGTGGGCCGTGCCGCCGCTGCTGCTGCTGCCTCCGCCGCCGCCGCCGCCGCTGCTGCTGCTGTGGTTTCCATCGCCGTGGCTGCTGCTGCTGCCACCGCGCCTGCCGCTCTCTGCCTCTAGTCCGCTGGTGGCTGGAGGAGAAGAGGGAGGGGAAAAAAGGATGGGAGGGAGGGATGTGGAGAGGAAGTGATGGATGGAGGGAAAGAGCAGTGGTGGGTAAGAGAGGGGAGAGGGAGTGAAACAAGATTATTTAGAGTAAAGTGGGAAGGGGAAAGGGAAAAACAGAGGAATGGTTGGGAAAGAAGAGAAGAGAAGCAAAGAGAATTGGAGGGAAAAAAGGGAGGATGGCAAGGAAGAGAGATTGATGGGGAAAAGAAAAGATAAAAAGATAAAGAAGGGGCAGAGAAGAAGGGAGGTGTAGGAAGTGAAGGAAGCAAGGTAGGGGAGGATAAAAGAAGGGGATCGAGGGAGGAGAGAAAAAATATACAGAAATAAAAATGTATGAATTTGCATAACTAATACCCAGAGACGTAGATTACATAACGCAGTATGTGTTGTCAGGGAGAACAAGGACCGAGGTAGGAAGGAAGAAAGGAAGGAAGGCGGGATATAGGGTAAAAAAAAAAAAAAAAGATAAATGAGGGATTAGAGTGGAAACCATGGAGGAGAGGTTGAGAGTTAGAGGGGAAACAGAGAGGAGAGCTTAATTAGGAAGGAAAAGGAAGGAGACAGTGGACGGAGAAGACAGAAGAGAAGGATTAGGGCAGGGAGGTATGAGAGAAAAGAAGCAAAAAGGGATTGTGGCATTAGGAAAAAAAGAAGAACATGAGTGGGAGGAGGAAGGAAGGAGGGATGACATTTAGAGGCAGAAATGTAGAAAAGAGGGAGGTGTGTTCGTGTAAAGAGGGGGGAGAAATAAAAAGCAAAAGGAGGGAAAAGCCAAAAAAAAAGTGGGAAGGAAACGTCGGTCCCTGTCACCATCAACCCTCCCAACACAAACAGACAATCAAAACAAATCATCCACAGCGATCACAAATGGCCATTCAGTGCCGACATAAATGAGACGTCGCCTTGAATCAGCATCGAGGAAGTAATTTGACACATCCAGTGGCTGATAAAACACGAGTAACAAACACGGGAAATGTGACAGCAGATGATATCCAAGTGAAAGGCCAGGCTCTTAAAGGAAATGCAGGCGAGGGGTCACAGACTCAGCAGGAGAAGGCAATTACAGCCAGCATTTGTCTTGTTGCTGAGTCTGTGGTAACAATTACTTAACAAACTGGTTAAACTTTGTCAAGCTTCTGGAAGCTAACTTGGCAAAAGAGGACACTAAAGGTGTAGGTTGTCACGCTGCTTCCCCCCTAAAGAACCATTTAAGAGGGTGAACAAGGAAATATCTGAGCCAGTAATGTTGTCACACATGGATGTGGACAACAGAGGTTCACATCGCTATCAGTAGGAGGCATATCCACTCGCTAAAGATCAGTAAAGATTTATGTGTAGCCTACATATGTTGCATCTTCGTTCTCTGTATCCATAATGTGAATTTCACTTGGCCTTTGCCTTTGTGGGATGAGCCACAATGACCACGTGACCTCTTTATATTAAAGTGTAATGAAGCCACAGTGTTGTTAAATTAGTAGAGGCACAACGTGGGGAAACAAGCCCAAATTCTGGACGAAAGCGGGCAAACTTTTAAAGTGTTTCTTATCCGATCTGAGTGGAGACCTAATGCTTTTAGTGTGTCTGTGACCACTGAAGTTTGTTTTGGCTCTCTCTGTTCATTTAGATACGGGCTTTACAATAACTGCTGTCACCAAGCTGGCTGCTAAGTGTCAAGACTTTTATAGACTCACATTAGCTATGTTTTGGTCTGCCTTACTGAGGACAAATCACAGTGAGTTCTCATTTTGAGCAATGGTACAGGATGTGTTCCACCGAAAACAGAAGGAACTCGCCTATCAGTACGCATCGCACAGTGGACATTTACAGCATTTCTTTCAGTATTTCTTCTGAGACTTTGTTGCTCGTTTTTTCTCCATTTTCTCCAATGCAATTTCAGCAAAGGCTATAAAAACACAAAACACAACACAGTTACAAACTCCCCTGTTAAATTACTTGCAGCTATGTGGCCGTTTCGTCTAACTACATTCAAAATTACACGCTGAGACATTTCCTTCAGAGAACCAGATATACAGACAGCTTGTAGAAAGCTAAGAAATCAGCTATGATCCTAGCAATGTTTTCTCCATCCATTAATATTTTTAATCACCTATGAATTTCAGGGTCGAGTGGAGGGTGAAGCCTAATACAGTTATTGTAGAGTAAGGCATTCAGCCTTCACCGTATCTTTGTAACTACAACTTCATGGTCAAATATTCAAAGAAAATGTAGTATAATTATATTATGCAATTTTTATGGTTAAATTAGATTATTCTTAGGATAATATTTTGTTTCTCGGTACACTGCTGTGAAATTACAGTCCAAGTCCAAGATGCATACAGTACATACATGAAACCCAATACTAGATCAAAACATTACACTTTCACCATTAATCATAAGGGAAATAATTCAAAATGTGATTAAGTAAACTGTAGCACGAACAAATTTCAGTCTGAATCTATCTGCAAGTCACAGAGGGCCCAAAATGATGATAGTCATCGAGAGGACCTTCATCTACAAAGGCTGAAGGTTGTTACGAGTGGCTCCGGTAATCTCACGGCACACCACAACAATTTTCTCCAGTTCTTTCCTGCTTTTTAGACCAAACCACAAAATCACAGAAAATGAAAGCACTGACTCAGTAAAAGAATAAAAGCTTTCCATCACCGTCATCCCAACATCAAAACTTTGCAACATTCTCAAAAAGAGCAGATGACTTGACCCGTTACGTAAAGCATCTGACTATAAATTATCTCATGATCAACAAGCTGACGCAAAGAAAAGTCTGAGCTAAGAAGGAAATGAATTAATAACTGGAATGGTAAGAAATCAAAAGGCCCACATGCAGAGGTGACTCCAAGCAATATCCAAATCCAGAAATCCGGAAGAAATACTTCAAAGAATAAATTTAAATTATTTAGGTGCATTGACATGAGAGTTATTTCTTATAAAACAATATACCCAGGTTTGATATGCAGCTTCATTCACCACTGAACCTACTGCCTTTACATAAGGCATCTAAAGCATCAAGCTTCCAAAGGAGTGAGAGACCAAAACAGAGCTCCGTCTCTCAGGCTTCAGTTCAGTTCACTTTGTTCTTTTGACAGTAAATGACAGTGATTCACACAAGACTTTTAGTGTCAAGGTGATCTGCAGTTTCTTGGAGACAGACTGTCCTCTAACAGAAATGTCAAATCCTGCTGCAGCTACTCCCACTCGCTGCCAAGCTTCAGCTCGGGAAAATCAACAGCAGCTAAACATCCAGAATTCAAAGTATAAATATCAGCACCAACATGTGTGGGTTTGGATGCGTTTCCGAGGGGACTGTGCAGGAACTACGTCTTGATTTGAGAAAGACTGGTTAAAATTTAAAGTGCGCTCAGTTCCCGGTAGACAGACGCTATTCTGCCGAGAATCCAGCGGCACTATCGTGTCTTGTTTGCTCTGAAGCAGACGTCTCTCCTCACAAAACCCGCCGCGCTGTATGGAATCACAATTTCACCCTCCCAGCTACCGGCTTCATCTTCCTAAGCTGCTTTCACACAATCAGCTCCCACCAGAGAGAGCTACTGTTTATGATACAGAAGTGCACGTCAGTTAGCATCAGTCTCAGAGCGGGGAAGAAAGGCGATCATGCATGATTTATAACCTGCTCTATAACAGACATACACTCTCACCATGGAGCCCTTGGTATTTTAATTTTTATTTGGATCCTTGTGAACACGGTGAGAAAGTCTTCTGCGCTCCGTTGTGGATTGCCTGCTCTTGAAGTTGTTCTGTTTACTGGCTAAATCTGTCTTGCTGCAAGCTAAATATCCCATTAAAGAGTTTGACTTTGTCCCCCTCAGTTGTTTGGAGAATAGGTAGCAGGCAGACCTATCTACACTACTGCATATGTTTTGACTCGTCTGTGCAAAATATATCCAAACTATGTTCACAATTCATTTTTAGCTGTTGTTGCCACTTGAAAAGATGCACACAAAGCCTTTGTAACCAAAGTCTAAGCCTGTATGTGTGTAACAAGGGTCTGTGACAGGAAGTAAAACCATATCTGCAGGGTGCAAGAGGATCTTTAGTGGACTCGAAATGTTCCCAGAGGTTGACGGCACACAAAACTGCTTCATTTTGTGAAGTTTGTTGTGTCGCAGGTGTACATCACTTTTAAATTATCCAAAGAATTCAGACTAGTTGTTTGTGGCACCGTATACCTTTTGGAAGTTTTGGTCATTAGACAGAATTTGCACAACAAAGCTCGCAGACGTCGACAGAGGTCAAACGCCATGTAAACTCGAAGTTGATTTCAAAAAGTAGCGCTGCTGAAATATGCATAAAGAAAATGAGAAAACTTTATCCAGTGAGAGATACTCTATCCTTGTCACAGAGAGAAAACCAGCACAGGGATGAGTGCTCTCTAAGAACATCTTTTCAAAGTGCTCGGTTCCTTTGCTCATTGTTTACAATAGAAAAGGATGCACTTTTAAGATTGCTCAGAGCAGAGAAAGTACCTAAACAAGGAGTGGAAAAAAAAAAGATCCTCCAGCCTTGTAAAAGCAAAGAGCTTCAGGTTTTGTACAGCTACATAAAACAGTAGCAGCTGACAGTCTGTTCACGTCTGCACAAAACTGTTTTTAAAAGTGTTGTCAGATAGATGTTGAAACACTTACTGTCAGTTATTCATGTTCGGGTGTCACCACACCTTCCTCAAAGATAAAGAAAAACAGTGACATAGTTCGATAGAAAAGCTTTACTCTAAATGCTAGTAATACTTTTTTTAAACTATCTGGACTGTCGTGATTTGAAAATTAGTAGTAAACTGGCTTAATGAGCTGTATTTAACTGCAGAAGAACAAGGAAATCACTGATAAAAGCAGGCAAGAAGTTCTCCACTACCGTGTAAATAGTTTTTGTCTTCATTTTGAGTTTTGAACCCTCTGTTGACATAAGTGAGTTTCTGCTCATTAGTCTA